TCCTTTTGTGGAATTGTCTCAATAATAATAAACCCAGAGAGTTACCCTCTGCAACCCTGGCTCGAGCTGACAGACCTGGAGGTGTGTCTTCCTTCTGCTGACCGGGTGAGGCTTTCATGCTGTTTGGATTGGCTCTGGGACACAACCTTCTGTTTTATGTAATATGGTGTATCAGAGAAGGCCTTTGTGCTCACCCTCTCTGAGCAAATGTGGGGCAAAGCCTGTGTCTACCCCATCATTTTCCTCACTGTCCAAGTAGCCAGCATTTCTTCGGTCTATCTTTCTTTCCGTTGGCAAAACAAACAAACAAACAAACAAACACTTTTCTTTTCCCACTGCCATTTTGCTTCAGGCCAAGATGATCATATACACTGATCCAGCTATGGGGCAAGATGAATTTTGCAAATATAGGGATATGTTGGGATCACATTCTTTTCAAAGCGAACAGGACCTGGCTTTGACATGGAGCTCTGTAATAATTGGCTCCATGTTCACCGGTTGGCCTGTGGGCAGCCTCTTTTGAAGGGTGGACCAAGGAGAGGATTAGAAGGACACGGGTCCTTTTTCCCGGATGGCTTGTTGCTCCCATGGGAAGTGGTATAAAGCCCACTTTCTGGCTTTTGCATTTTCGCTTTTGAATATCCAGGCACAAGATGCTTTGGCATACCTGGCCACTTAGTATTGATTTCTCTGTGCCACACCCAGTTCCGTGTTAGTATCAGGTCTGGCGTCTTTCCTAGGGGAACAAGTTGCTCTGAAATAAACATAGGTGGAAACTCACCCCATGTTGTTTGTTTGTTTGTTTGTTTTTTGGGGGGCTTGAACTCAGGGCTTGGGCACTGTCCCTGAGCTTCTTTTGCTCAAATCTAGCACTCTACCACTTGAGCCACAGCACCACTTCTGGCTTTTTCGGTGTATGTGGTACTGAAGAATCGAACCCAGGGTTTCATGCGTGCTAGGCAAACACTCTATCACTAAGCCACCTTCCCAGCCCTCATCTTGTTTTAAAGAGGCATGTATAAGAAGGCCATTGCCCAGTCGAGAATGACTTTATGGATTCATTTCTCCATGTCTGGTTAATGATTCATGGTGCCCCCTGGGTGTCCAAAAGGATGTATTTCCTTTCTCCCTCCCTGGGCTGCTGGTTTCCCAGGAACAATGAGCTGGCGGAGTGGCTGCAGGCCGGACTTGAGCTGGAGGTGGAGTCTGCGTAGTTCTCTCCCTACCAGCTCAAGTGTGTGGTCTCTGCAGTTAAGAATGATTCCTCTGGGTTTTATTTTTTTTCTTCCTGGTAGCCCTGTAAAGAACCTCCCCAGAGTCACTGACTCCTTCAGAGACAGACAAGTAAGTGGAATCTGAAATACGATTGTGTGTGGCGGTTGAGGGGTTTTGTTGTGTCTGCTCTCCCCCCTTGAAGACCGAGCATTCTCCGACAGCATAATGCGACTTGATTTTCACTTCTCCTGGAACAGTTTCTGTCTTGCTGCCATCAGGAGGTGGGATGTTTTGAAATATGAGCTGAAAACTTGGAAAACTGTGCACATCTCTGACATCTGTGTAGTATGGAGACAAGGGGACTGGTCACCTGTCATCCAGGAGGCTCCACATGTGAGGAGGAGGAGGGGTCGGGGGCTGGTGGCTGGGCATCCAGGTAAAACGGAGGGAGGGCCGGAAGAGCCAAGGACTTGCTTCTTTCACAGGAAGCCTTGTTGTTGTTGTTGTTAGTTAATTCTTTAGTGTCTATGCCAAAAGGTTTCCTTCTCTCTGTCCATCTTTACCCACTTCTCTCATCTGTTTGAATAGATATTTTGACGATTTATTGAGTTTATAACCAACTGTCATTAAGAATTATTCCACATTAATTGCTCTGTTCAGTTTCTTCTGGGGAGGTTTGTTCAGTACATAGATAGCTACTATCGCTTTTTGTATCTCTCCCATAAAAACTGAGTTGGAAGGAAAGCAGAGAGAGAGACAGAGACACAGAGAGAGAGAGAGGGAGAGAGAGGTTAGAATTTAAACTTGCACTTTGGGTTTGCTTAAATGACCATTGAAAAGCCTTTTGTCATGGGAAAAAAATATATCTTCTTTTGTGTTTTGTTTGAAAAAGATATAAGATCGTGTTTGTGGAAGCTACCCGGCAGCACCCGAGTGGAATCTAGGAGTGGTGGTTAACAAACTATCAGTCATTCGTTCCTCCGTGGACTGTCTCATTTCAAATCATGTTTTCTGTCTGTCTGAGGCCTGAGGAGGAGACCCAGTGGAAAGGGGCCATGGATCTATTTGGGTTGTCACAAGGCTCTGACACCTTCCAGCCTTCCTGATACATAGTCAAGCTCGAGGTGCTGTCAATTGACTTTGTGTAGTGTTGACTTAACGTAATCAAATTGACTAAATTGCTACCTGAGATTTCAGGATAGGAAAACAAATGTGAGTTTCAAATATTACAAAATGTATAGGGAGCAAGGAGGGGAGAACTGAGGAAATAATTGTTTTACTCAAGATGTTCCTGAAAGGCGTTGGCCAGGTTCTTTACTGACAAACATTTTCCCCCCTTGCTTTATGCAATACAGAAGAATTGATCTAGATAGTGGATTTTTGAAGGAGTAGAAAGTAAATAATTCAGCCAGGTACAGGTGGCTGAGACCTAGAGAATTGTGGTTCAAAGCCAGGCTGGGTAGAAAAAATCCATAAGACTCCATCGTAAATGAATGAGCAAGATGCCAAAGTGGAGGTGTGGCTCAAGTGGTAGCGTGCCCGTGGTGAGCAAGCAAGTCATGTGAGAATATGAGACCTCTGGATTTGAGCCCTGGCACTGGCACAATAGAAAAGAAAAGAATATTGAGAGTGCTCAATGATCATTGGTATTGGGTCCTGATAACAAGACTGGTTTTGCCATAAGTTTCTTAAATTGAGTAATTTTCTCTTTCGTTTTTGTTTTTGTTTTGTTGGTACTGATGTTTGGACTCAGCTTTCTCTACCCCTTAAGCCACTCCTGGACTTGTTTTGCTTTGCATTCCTTTTTCAGATGGGATCTTGCATGTTTGATTGGCCTAGCCTGGGACTTACCCTCCTACCTCGGCCTCCCAAGTTGCTGGGATTACAGGAATGCACCATTAAGTCCTGCTTTTCTTAAAAAATTTTTTTAATTGAGGAGAGAGTCTTACTAGGCCTAGGCTGGCCTGGAACCTGGATACTTTTATTTCTGTCTCCTCCATAGGTAGGAGTATAGGGGTGTACAACCAGCCCTTTCTTAAATTAAATTGTTCTCTATTCTCTAGGAGTATAACTAAAAGCGACTATGGGATCTCAGCATTGTCTGATTAGATTCACATATTGGTCCAGTGAGGTAGATACTGACGTTACTTTCCTATTGTACAAGTGAGGAAATTGATAATCAGATGGAAAGTCAGCCAGGGGTAAACTGGAATGGAAGAACCCGATAACTGCTGGTATTTTTCGAACTCTCTATGATGCCACATTCCCCTATGCTTCTCTCTCGGGCCATTCCTGTGATTCTACCTCTCAAGGGTAGTGGGAGGAACTCTGGTGGGGGGTGTCAGGAGATGTGGATTCTAATTCTGAGGAGTTCATTGCTGGCTCTGCGATGTTGAATGTGTCACCAAATCTTTGGTGACAGGCCATGTGTGTGGAAGGCGTTTACTTTCTCTGATGTCTTGTCGCTTTGCAGTCTTGGGATGTGACCCGGGACTTATCAGAGGCTTGCAGGAGCTCTGTGGTGCTCACTTAAACAAGGGAGAAAGGATTTAGAATGGCCTCTGTGCAGCTCTGATCATTGCTTTCCCTGCCTAACTCTAGGTTCTCATAGGATGGTTTTTTTTCCCCATCTGCTTCCTGAGCTGTTCAGTCTGTTCTTTCTGACTCACCAACAAACACACTTGAGACAAGTTCTCTCTGGTCATTTGAGCCCAAGAATGAATGACATCAGATTACACTCCTATCTGCCTTCCAAAGAAGTGATAACCTCCTGGTATGAGGCCATCTGTGAACAGTAATCCTTTTTTGGGGAACAAAGCAAATGTCAATAAACATTACTGTGGTCAGGGTTTCAAAACTATCTCTTAGAACAACCCAGTTCTAGTGGCTCATACCTGTAATCCTAGCTGCTCTGGAGGTCAAGATCTGAGGATCATGATTGGAAGCCAGCCTGAGCAGAAAGTTTGTAAGACTTGTATCTCTAATTAACCAGCAAACAGCCAGAAGTGGAGGTGTGGGCTCAGGTGGTAGAGCACCAGCCTTGAAAAGCCATGGGTTCCGTACTGAGTTCAACTGTCAGTACTGGCATGTGCATGTGCATGTGTGCGTGCGTGTGTGTGTGCGCGCGTGCGCGTGCGTGTGTGTGCGTGCGCACATTTATACACAGAGACCCAAAATCCAAAAGAGCTTCTCTATCCCTGTCTACCTCTCCCTCCTTCCCTCCCTCCCTCTCTTCCCCCCCCCCCCCCTTTCTCTCTCTTTTGGTCAGTCATAGGGCTTGAACTCAGAGCCTGGGGGCTGTCTCTTTTCACTTTTTCACACAAAACTAGCACTCTACCACTTTGAGCCACAGAGCTAAATCCACATCTGCTTTTCTGGTGGTTAATTGGAGATAAGAGTTCTCACAGGCTTTCCTGCCCTGGCTGGTTTTGAGCTATGATCCTCAGATCTCAGCCTCCTGAGTAGTTAGGATTACTGGCATGAGCCACCAGCACTCAGCTCAAATACTGGATAATGGTGACGGTGTTGTGTTGACGTTGGTAAGAAAGGAAATAACAGTAACTGCCATCTGCCATTGTGATGATTGTGTAAAGGTTGACACGGAGGACCTGGGCACAGAGGAAGGACTTGTTTCAGAGAGTTGCACTTTGGTGCACACCGCCCTCACATCATTCCTCACCCCGCCTTGCGTTGAGGAGCAGTGCGCCATGCCCACCGCTGCTTTGGTTCTGGTTCCTCATGATTCGATGAAGACCTTAATTTGTGCTTTTGTCCTTTTCCCATAGGCAAGAAGAAAAATCCTGGCCTTAAAATTCCGAAAGAAGCATTTGAGCAGCCTCAGACCAGTTCCACGTAAGTTAGCAAAGCTATCGTTCTGATCCGAACGCGTGTTCTGTGGCCATCCTTCCAGCGGGCGTTGGTTTTTTGGACTGGTGAGCCTTGGACTTTGAGCAGTGTTATTAGGAGGAAAAGCTGGCCTGTGAGGAGACGAGAATTGCCTGCTGTTCTGGGCCCTGAACGAATCAGTCTGTCAGTCAAGCTGGTGTCTCAAATGATTGGTTGAGTAAGAGTTAGGGGACACGTACTAGCTGGGGTAGCCGAGGTCAGAGATATAAAATCAGAAAAGTCCCTGGAGATGGACTGGCTTCCCTTTTCGCTGTAGATATGAAATGAGCAAACCAATCCCTGTGAGAGCCGTGACTCCTCTAAAACTTGGGTTGAGCTGCAAAGATGGCATTGGATGAGTTACCACATCCTCAGGCCTCAATCCTGACCCACACAAACAGCAGGAACGGTGAGGTGAAGGAATACTTCTTTATGAGTGAGCTCCAGTCGGGGTTCGGCAGGCCCGCTCTCTCCTGGAGCTTGCTTGGTGGTTGGTTCTTTGTCTCAGCAGAGGAGGGAGGCATCTCTTATCTCCCAGAGAGGATTGAACACCTGTCCAAAGCATCTGCCTGGGAGGATAGACATTCCAAGGCAACAAATCACCGCAGAGGTATCAGAAAGGCAGGGGGAAAAAAAATCCCCTCAAAGGGCATCTCAGTGAAATTTTTAAGATTTTCACTTATGTCGCCCTTTGTAAATGTTTTTGTGACCTTAGCTGTGGTCTACCTTACCAGCACGTGCACCCTCTAGCGCTGAGAAATGCTCATTACAACGGTCCCAGGCTTGGTGCAAAACTGTTGGAGCCATTGGTCTTGGTTGGCATGGTACGCAACAATCTAAAGAAATGTTCTACCCAGGCAAGAGAAAGCTGGGTGCCTGTGGCTCAGTGCCTGTATTCCTTGCTACTCAGGCGGCTGAGATCTGAAGCTTGTGGCTTGAAGTCAGCTCAGGAAGGAAATTTCTCATGGAGAGATATTTTTCTGGAACTTCTAAGTTACAAATCCAATTTTCTAAATAGATAGAGGGCTATTCAGATATAATATTTCTGGATGGCTGACCTTTGGTAGTATGTGGTTTTTGAAGAGTTGGTCCATTTCTTCGAAGCAGTCAATTTATGAGAATAAAGCTGTCACAAGATTTCCGGATCATTCCTTCAATGGCTGAAAGATATCTACACACATCCTGTATTTTCCCTGATGTTAGTAAGATGTGCTTTCCTTCTTGTTATTGTTGTCAATTTTTTTTGTTTTATGGAGTTGTTTTATTTTTAAGAATCAGCATTGTTTTATTGAGTTTTATTTTTTAAAAAAGAATTAGCATTGTTATTTTCCTGTTTTTAGTTTCATTGCTTTCTTCCTTTATTGTCAACATTTCTGGACGTATATTCTTACCTTGGGCTGGGTTTATAGCTTGGTTTCTAGAATATTTTCCTAGCATGAGTGAGGCGCTAGGTTAAATCTCCAGCAGTGCTAATCTACGTAGCTTTCTTATATTCCCTCTCTTCTTAAAATTTTTCATTCCTGGTATGCATTAGTTGAATGTATTTTACAAAAACATTTCTGGGTATAAACAAATGCATAAGAGCTGAGGCCAAGGTGAAGGAGTTTCTATTTCTCTTCTCTGGGAGACCATGCTTTGAGCCCTCTGAGCACCCTTTTTGGCTTTGGCTTGGAAACCAATCATTTCATGCTTGTGGTCTTCTCCACTTGCGCTCACAAACTCTTCTTCTTCATACCATTATTTTCATACCAAGGCTTACTTCATACTATTATTTTCAAACTGAGGCTTACACATGGACCTCCAAGGAAGTAGCTTCCACATTTTGTATTTCCTCTGGCCACTTTTTAGTGTTGGCGTGGTGATCCTTGCCACTTATACTCTCCTGCTGTGCTGGACAGAAGTTGAGGGGTGGGGGAGGAGAAAGCCGCATTCATTCTCTGGTTCAGTGCGTGTGTGTGGTCCATCTGCTTGAGCTCTTTCTTTGAGTTGCCAGGGCCAGTGTGTTTTTGTCTCAGCTTTCTAAGCTGTCCCGCCACGTGACTGGACATAGTTAGTTCTAGGTCAGTTTTGTGCTGGTCGGTATCATTTCTTTTCACCTTGATGGGAGACTCAGGACACAGGGTCTGCCGCGCTCACCCACGGAGTGAAAGATGGCAGGGGACAAATGCTTCATGTACTTGTGCCCTATAAGCATCACGGGAAGCGTTTGAGCTCCAGAGCCCAAAGGTTTATGTGTGAGATCTGAATGTCACCAACTGAATACTTTAGGCAAGATACCTAATTGGTGTCAGCCTTAGTTTCCCCTTCTAAAAACCAGGAATAAGTGAGACCGTGTGAGGGTTATGGAGATGAAGTGTCCTCATTTGAATCTAGCCTAGTCTAGCTGGGAGTCTGGTCCATTGTAATCAATGAAAGGTAGCGCTAACTTGTTTATCATTCTGGCACAACTTCTTCTGGGTAGAAGAGCTGGCGCCTAAACCCAGTCAGTGCCTGCCCTTAGCTCTCTATACCTTGGACTGGGTGAAGCTTGAGCACATGTTTATGGCTAATGAGGTGGTAGGGGAGGGGAGAGGGAGGGAAGATTTTGCACTTGCAAAGTTAAAAAGTCACCTGTTGCAGTACTGGATCAAAATATTATCTCAATGAATGAGCTGCAATTATTTAATGTCCTAATGTCTTTGCATTGAAATAGAGACAAAAAATACCTCTGAGAGCAGTAAAAATTAAATAGGTTATAGATATTACATATTATATATAACACATGATAATATAATGTAATATATTGTTATATATTACTATATTTAATACATTATATATATTTATACTACACATATAGTATTTATAACATTCATAAAATAGTTATAATATATAATTATAAATTATAGATACATGTAAACATATACATATATACATATACAATCTATACACATATACGTATTTACAATACATAATAACTTATACATGATAATTTATAATAGAATATATAATAGATAGATATCATGTATATATAATCTCTCTAATATATATGTATGTATATATACACATATATAAAGTCTAGCACAGTCTCTGGCCCAAATAAATAGGTGCTTCATAAAACTCATTAATGATGTGAATGAAAATTTCAGTAATAGCCAGTGAACTGACTATACATATAGAATTACAAGTTAACAGTTTATTTTTATTTTTTATTTATTTTTTTGGGTCCGGTCCTGGGGCCTGAACTCTGGGCCTGGGCGCTGTCCCTCAGCTCTTCAGCTCAAGGCTAGCGCTCTACCACTTGAGCCACAGCACCACTTCCGGCTTTTTTTTTTCTTCTGCTTATGTGGTGCTGAGGAATCGAACCCAGGGCCTCATGCATGCAAGGCAAGCACTCTACCACGGAGCCACCTTCCCAGCCCCAACAGTTTATTATAATAAATCACAGCTGGTTGCTCCTGTTAAACACCAGTACCAGGTGACCACTGGGATGCCTTTGGTCTTCCAGGGAAGTAATTTTGTCTGTCATAAGCTTGATTCTTTCCCCAGAGGACTAAAACTATGGAATCACTGACAGAATGTCCACCCACAGAGTCTCAGCGCCCCAGGCAAGCTAATACATCCCGTTCTGGACAGGAAGAACACCCCGTCAACGAATGCACTGTGCACCGTCAGTCTTGGCCCCGTTCTTTGCTGCGTTTGGCAGCCTAGATGAGCCTCAAGGCCTGAGGCCTGTGTGGGTGAATCATTTCCAGGAGGCCTGGGTGTCTGGGGCAAGTCCCTTGATTCAGTCCAGGCTTGGATGGGAACCATGGGAACTGGTAAAGCACTTTGTCCAGGGTTTTCCCTTCCCCCTTCTCTTCCTCTTTCCCTCTTCTTAGGTCAGGGCTGAGATTTAGGTGACTTGAGCTTTATTTTCAGCTCTATGGACAACAACCACACATAGCTTCCGTAAACCACCCAGCTTTCCTGGATTTCAATTTTCTTCATCTGGAAAATAGCGGCATGGCCTTCTGGACTGGAAGGTTCAGGTATAAGGCGAGGGTTTGTTGAGTGAAGATCAGCAAACTTTTTGCAAAAGGCCAGACAGTGTTTTAGGCTTATATAAGCTACAATATTGTATCCTTTATTTAATTAATTAATTTATTTAATCTATTTATCTATTTTATTTAATTATTCATTTAACTTATTTATTTGCTTATTTTTGGTTTGTTGGTTTTATTACAACAACTGAAGCTGGACTATAGACTGGAATTGGACTAAATATTGAGAGAGGATATAAACATGTTATTCCTGAGTTGTTTTTTTTTTTTTTTTCCTCCAGTATTCTTGGTAATTGGAAAGAAAGGGGCTGTAGCTCCAAATAATTAGTGCTCTCTCTCTCCCTCAGTTTTCTTTTCTTTTCTTGTAAAGATGCTGTCCAGAGGGGTTACAGCTACCTGAGTGAAGCAATGAGTACATTTCTTGTCGAGCACTGTTACCCCTTCCCTTCTTGTTCTCCCACTATCCCTTCCCTCCCCCACCTCCCTCACTCCTCTCCCTGCCCCACAGTTGTAAAGTTCATTTCCAACATAGTGTCTTGTAAGTCTCATTGTTGTAAGGGGTCATCCTGTGTCTTTGTTTCAGCGTTTTGTTATTCCCCTTCCCCTCCCCAAATTAGACAAATGCATATACAAGATGCAGGGTACCAAAATCAAGTACAGTGACAGCAGAGGATATACCATGGGGGGAAGGGAAGAACATACAAAGGAAACAAAAAAAAATCACATAGTATGTGAGAAACAACAACAAAGAAAGACCTCTATATCTTGGGCTTCATTTCACTTAGCCTCATCTTATATGGTCATATGTACATAGCATTTGAGCTTTTCTGCTCATCTTATAAAATTATCCTAGATGTATACTGATCATTGCAAATGAGGGAAACCATGGAACCTATATTTCTTTGGGTCTGACTTTCTTCACTTAATATGATTTTTCCTCCCACATAGTTTTATAAAAGCACTTTGATGAATAATTGCAAGGACATGAAAAATTCAGCTGGGCATCAGGGGCTCATGGTTGTAATCCTAGCTACTCAGGAGGCTGAGATCTGAGGATTGTGGTTCGGAGCCAGCCTCGGCAGCAAAGTCTACGAGACTCTTATCTCTAATTAACCTGCAAAAAGCCAAAAGTGGAGGTGTGGCTCAAGTGGCTGAGCATCCAACTTTGAGCAAAAACATTCAGGGACAGTGCCTAGGCCCTTATTTCAAGCCCCAGGATCAGCACACAAACAAATTATAGTGGTTAAATGTTTCCAGTTCTTTTTTTGCCTATTTTTCAAAGTGCTGTTGCATTTAGTATAGTGAAACAAGTTAAGAAAAACAACTTTGGATATTATAAGAATGAGAAATTAGATTTTGAGAAATTTGATTTCTTCTAGAAACCTTTTGTGAAAAATTTCCCACTGAGAAACACTAGATACACAAAAGTATCACTACCGTGTATGTGTGTGTGTGTTTGTGTGTGTGTGTGTGTATTGTTCTTACTCTTTGACTCCCCCCTAGACACTAGTCTGAAATTAGTACAGAAAGCCCTTAATGTGTTCTTTATCTATGAAGGAGATTTCAAGGTGAGGGAAAGAGGCAAGTCTTGCCATTAGATTCATATTTGTATCTGTGTTTGTGTTTCTGCTTTTCTAGCATGAGAGAACACTGAGGTATAGAAGTAAGTGCACATGAGGAGGAGACACAGGCAGCAGGCCTCTGCCTCCGGAGTGCTGGGCCCGTGAATATTATGTTTACTATGTACAGAACGAAGGTCACTGGATCTGATTCAACAGCCTGGCGGAAGAGAAAGATGCTGTGAATGAAATCAGGAGATGCGGGGCGAGTCATTTCACCTCTGCAGATCTTCTGTCCAGAAGATGGGAAGATGGGAAGAGATTTGGAATTATCATCCTGGAATTACCATCACTAGCTTCTTCCCTTCCCTTCCCTCCCTCTCTCAGTCTCTCTTTTTGCTTTATCCTTTCCTCTCTTTCTCCTTTCTTCCTTCCTTCCTTCCTTCCTTCTTTCCTTCCTTCCTTCCTTCCTTCCTTCCTTCCTTCCTTCCTTCCTTTCTTTCTCTCTCTCTCTCTCTTTCTTTCTTTCTTTCTTTCTTTCTTTCTTTCTTTCTTTCTTTCTTTCTTTCTTTCTTTCTTTCTTTCTTTCTTTCTTTCTTTCTTCCTTCCTTCCTTCCTTCCTTCCTTCCTTTCTTTCTTTCTTTCTCTCTCTCTTCCTTTCTCTTTCTCTTTCTTTCCTTCCTCCCTCCCCTTCTTTTCCTTCCTTCCTCTGTGCTTCCTCCCTCCCTCCCTCCCTCTTTTTTCCTTCCTTTCTCTCTTTTTAATCTATCTTTCTTTTCCCCTCTCTCTTTCTCTCCTTCCTTCCTTCCTCCCTCCATCTCTCCCTCCCTCCCTCCTTCCCTTCCTTCTTTCCTTCCTTCCTTCTTTCCTTCCTTCCTTCCTCCCCCCCTCTCTTCTTTCTTTCTTATTTGGAAGGAATAGTGGAATGATAGGGTATATTTTGGTTGCTACAGTTGGATGACAGAAAAACTTTGATGCTAACCACGATAACGTAAGATCGCAATAGCTGCATACCTATGGCTCTGAATTACTGGATATTTACTGGGTGCTAGGTGCGTCACTAAGCATTTTATTTAACTTGAGATATCATTTCTACTCCACAAGATAGGTAGATTAATAGCTTCATGGTGAGGAAGGAATACAAGCTCAAAGAGATGAGGTGTTTTAAACCCAAATAGATGTTATTCCAAACCCTGTTGTGTCCACATGCTGTGCTGTTTTACATGACCCATGATTCCCACCTCCTTTGTAAGGGAAATCCTCTTGAGTCACACGAGATTTGAAGAGGACAAACCGGAGTAAAGCGCTCATGCTTCCTTTTCTCTCCTGTTTCTTAGGCCTCCTCGAGACTTAGACTCCAAGGCTTGCATTTCTATTGGAAATCAGGTGAGGAAAGTCATGTTTATCAATCTCTCTCTGCTTTTCAGTCTCTCTCTCCCTCTCTCTCTCCCTCTCTATCTCTCTATATATATACTTTTATTTCCTTCCTCCTTCTTTCCCCCTTTTCTTCCCTTCTCCCATCTTTCCTCCCTCCTTTCTTCTTCCCTTCCTCCCTTCCTTGGTTCTAGAGTTTGAACTCGGGGCCTTGTGTTTGCCAGTGCCTTACCAATGCAAGCTCCTTACAACTGGAGCCATACCTCTAGTTCTTTTGGCTTAACTTCACTTCACATAGCCTCTTGCACTTTTGCTCAAGACTAGCCTCAGACCTTGATCCCTCTTTCTTCATCTCCTGCAGAGCTGGGATTGCAGGCAGCGTGGACCACCACCATGCCTGGCCCTGTACAGGTGTTTTCTGACTGTCACACTGAAAGAATTATTTTCTGTACCATGTTGTGAGGAGATGGATTAAAAACAACGATGTCTGACTTTAAGGGGAAATGACACAGGGTACTTTTATTGTTTTGAATTGTAAATTGAAATCAGGCTCTTGTCATTCTGAGAAAATAACTTTCACAAGAGTAGATGAGTTCCCTTGGGAGGCCATATCATCTAGTTGCCCTAGTCCCTAGTAGATTATAAAGAAGCATGGTGTAGGGAGTTTCAACCGAGCCACTGCAAAACTGAATTCGATGGAGCGTGTCCCTGTATTACTGGTGGTTTGCAGGTGGCTCATCGGTGGCCGGGGATTTCACTAGTATTCTCTGCTTGCAGTGGCACCTTGACATTCTAGAAGAACTCACGGCGTAGACATAACCCTTAGAATATAGGGAGAGGCCAGTATGGTGGTACAGGCGTGTGGTGTCGGCTACTTGGGAGACTGAGATGGAGTGGATAGTGGGTAGACTACAGAAAAGTCAGCGAGAACCCCATTTCCACAAACATGGCCTGGGCAAGTCTGTGGAAAGTGGGATAGGAGGATTGTGGAGTGAGGGTAAACCAGACAACATGGGAGACCCTATCGACGGAAGCATCAAAGGCCTAGGAGTTTGGCTCAAGTGGTAGATCACCTGTCTAGCCAGTGAGTGAGGCCTGGGGTTCAAATCCTCATGCTGTAAAAAGAGGGGGCAAAACCAGAGAGCGTGCAACCATGTCGCTGTCCAGTGTAATGTTCACTCCCCTGTTGCTATCATGCTGCTTTTCCCCGTTGCAGAATTTTGAGGTGAAGGCAGATGACCTGGAGCCCATCATGGAGCTGGGGCGAGGTGCTTATGGGGTGGTGGAGAAGATGCGACACGTGCCCAGCGGGCAGATCATGGCAGTGAAGGTAGAGTGGACGTTCTACGGGTTTCTGTGTGTCTGTGGTCTAGATAGTTTGTCAACTCTTCTGTAAACCATCCCCCTTCATAAAAAGAAAAAAAAGATCTTCAACAGGGTGGAAGGGAAAGATGACTTTTTGGGAAATTGCATTTCTGTGTCAGTGTGTGCAAATGCCTTTTTTTTTTTTTTTTGGTCTGTGATGGGCCTGGACGCTCAGCTCTTCGGCTCAAGGCGGGTGCTCTACTACTTGAGCCACTGCAACACTTCCATTTTCTGGTGGTTTATTGGAGATAAGAGTGTCAGGGACTTTCCTACCTGGGCTGGCTTTGAACTGCGATCCTCAGATCTCAGCCTCCTGAGTAGGATTACAGGTGTGAGCCACTGGTGCCTGGCCCAAATGCCTTTTTGGAGTTCATTGTACTTACTTTCTAGTTAGTGTTAAACCTTAAAGTCCCCCTTGCTCCACCATTAAATACACACACACACACACACACACACACACACACACACACACGGCCACTGTGTTATTAATCACACTGAAAAGAAAAAGAATTCTTTTTCTTTTTGTGCTGGTCCCAGGGCTTGAGCTAAGGACCTAGGCATTGTTCTTGATTTTATTTTATTTTTTGCTCAAGGCTAGCACACTCCCACTTGAGCCACAGCTCCCTGTCTGTTTTTTGTTTGTTTGTTTTTGTGATTCATTGGAGATAAGAGTCTCAATGACTTTCCTGCCCAGGCTAGCTTTGAACCACAGCTCTTAGATTTCAGTTTCCTGAGTTGCTAGAATTTTATAGGCATGAGCCACCAGTGCCTGGCTTTTAACAATTCTTTTTTAACCTAACTGAATACCTTTTCCAAATTAAGATTTCGTTTATCTCAACGTGTCTTTGTTGTTCTTTTGATTTTATAAAGCAGCATCCTCACCAGGGCTCAGATATCACACACAGCTGTTAGGATGCACAGATCTCTCATATTCTCTGTTCTATTGCATTTATAATTAATTTTTTAGGGCTTGAACTCTGGGCCTGGGCGCTGTCCCTCAGCTCTTCAGCTCAAGGCTAGTGCTCTACCACTTGAGCCACAGCGCCACTTGGTGTCAGTACTGGGGCTTGAACTCAGGGCCTTCTGCTTTTTTCCTCTTTCCTTTTTTCTTTTTTTTCTTTCCTTCCTTCCTTCCTTCCTTCCTTCCTTCCTTCCTTCCTTCCTTCCTTCCTCTGTCTGTCTTCCTTTCTTCCTTTCTTTCTTTCTTTCTTTCTTTCTTTCTTTCTTTCTTTCTTTCTTTCTTTCTTTCTTTCTTTCTTTCTTTCTTTCTTCCTTCCTTCCTTCCTTCCTTCCTTCCTTCCTTTCTTTCTTTCTTCCTTTCTTCCTTTCTTTCCTCTCTCTCTCTCTTTCTTTTTTTTTTGCGGGGGTCTGGTCGTGGGGCCTGAACTCTGGACCTGGGCTCTGTCCCTCAGCTCTTCAGCTCAAAGCTAGTGCTCTACCACTTGAGCCACAGCACCACTTCCAGCTTTTTTCGTTTTGCTTATGTGGTGCTGAGGAATTGAACCCAGGGCCTCATGCATGCAAGGCAAGTGCTCTACCACTGAGCCACCTTCTCAGCCCCTTTCTTTCTTTCCACCTTTCTTTCTTTCTTTCTTTCTTTTTTTCTTTCTTTCTCTGTCATTCTTTCTCTCTTTCCTTTTTTTTTTTTTTTTTTGCTTAAGGCAAAAAAAAACCCCACAGCTCCATTTTCAGCTTTTTGCGTGTTCATTGGAGATAAGTAATTCATCAGTGATGCTCACTAGACATGCTGTTGGAAATTAATTTGTGGGGGATGGGAACAACTGGGAGAATAACAGGGAGAGGGGGACACTATTAACAAAAGAAATGTACTCATTACCTGATTAATGTAACTGTAACCCCTCTGCACAACCCTTTTACAATAAAATTTTAAAAAGGAAAAAAAAAGACAAAAAAGAATCTCACAGACTTTCCTCCCTGGGCTGGCTTTGAACTAACTAGGATTAAAGGTGTGAGCCACCAGTACCTGGTCTAATTTGAATATCCAGAAATCAGAAATTTCAGAGAGAGAAATCAGAGAGAGAAAGAGAGGGGGAGAGAGGAAGGGAGAGAGAGAGAGAGAGACAGAGGAGAGAGAGACATACAGAGAGATCTCTGTGGAAACAGGATAAGGCTGATCTAGAATGAATTTGCATTGTTGTTGATGTGAAATCATGTTTCTTGGACAGAGTCAGGAAGGATTCTTTTTTAATTTTATGTGATTGTAAAGATGCTATACAGAGGGGTTACGGTTACATGAGTAAGGCAATGTACATTACTTGTCGATCAATGTTACCCCTTTCCTTTCTATTGTCCTACTATCCCTTCCCTCTCCCAGTCATCAGGAAGGATTTTAAACAGTGAACTTGCCTAGAAAATTTATTAGACCCTGAGTCTTGCTTAGGAATGGGTGCCAGCTTGGATCCCTTTGCTTTTAGAGAGTGGAGATCTCTTCTCTGGCTTGGAGATTTTCCAATCTGTTCTATTGACTGCTCAGTAGGCAAAACCTGTGAAGATCTAGGGCTACTGTCCCTCCCTTCCTGGCCAGCTCATGATGTCATAATCACATCTCTGGAAGGCTGCAGAGCTCTGCCTGGCAGGACAGGTTTTTCTTCTTTTAGCAGCTCTGGCTAAGAATGATCATTTTCTCCATTTCTCTGGATCCTTCTTCTATTGTCTACAGCTGGACATTTCCTGTTTATTCCAGATCCAGTCAGCCCTTTGTCCTTGTGGGTTCTTCATCCGTACACTCAAATATTCGAAATTTTTAAAAAAAGGACTAAATACATAAAGACTTTCTTTCTTGTCAACACTTCCTGAACAGTGAGCAGAACAAACTATTTGCATGGTATTTACATTGCATTCCCTGCCATAAGCAATCTAGAGATGACAGAGAAACACGTGGGAAGCTGTGTGCAGGTAATGTGTGCAGACTACACCATTCTACAGAACGCTTAATCACCAGGAGATTGTGGTTTCTGAAGCGGGTCCTGGAACCAATCCTCCACAGATGCGGATGGCATGCTATAGTTCTGGTTCTCCTATGTGGGAGAAGAGTCTCACCCCCTCCTTTTTTTACACCCTCTTAGGACCCCAAATAAACAGTCATTATATGGCCTCTTTGTCCTGTATAGGTGTCATTCAGTAAGCTAGATGGTTTTTGCACTTTGGAAATGCATTTCGCAACTTTCCCCCAGTCTCTCAAACATACTATCTGTTTAGTTCTTTCTTTTTTTTGTGCTGTATTGGGGTCTTGAACTCAAAGCCTGGGTGCTGTCCTTGACTTTTTTTTTTTTTTTCTGGTTCAAGGCTGGTTGCTCTACCATTTTGAACTCAAGCTCTACTTCTGGCTTTTGCATGGTTCCTTGGAGATAAGAGTCTCACAGACTTTCCTGCCCAGGCTGGCTTCAGACTGTGATCCTCAGATCCCAACCTCTGGGGTAGCTTAGAATTACAGGTGTGAGCTGTTGGCACTTGGCTCTGTTTACTTTTTTCCAGGGGCTGGCAAAACAGATGGTTTTGCCTTACAAATTGACTCATCCTCAAAATGGTTAGCATCCATCTTTCCCTGTGTTTCCATCCAGCGGATCCGAGCCACTGTAAATAGCCAGGAGCAGAAAAGGCTACTGATGGATTTGGATGTTTCTATGAGGACAGTGGACTGTCCATTTACTGTTACCTTCTACGGCGCGCTCTTCCGAGAGGTAGGTGATTCTCCCATCCAGGTTCTAAGGAGAAAGATCACTTCCACTTCTCGGAATATGTAACTATCTGCTGGGTTACTTTTTGGAGGAAAATCTTGCTCATTGCTAAATACCTTTGGGATCTTGATGGAATATTGTCCCTTTCATCCAAAAAAAAAAAAAAAAAAAAGCCAGAAAGGAAGAGTGCTTCAGGACAATGGTTAGCTTGTTTTTTCTTCTGAGTCCCTTCCCATCTTCGTTAACAATGCCAGAATGTGTTGGTTTCCAGGGTGATGTTTGGATTTGCATGGAGCTCATGGATACATCGCTAGATAAATTCTACAAGCAAGTTATTGACAAGGGGCAGACGATCCCAGAGGACATTTTGGGAAAGATAGCAGTATCTGTGAGTACCCCTCCCCCCCCGCCCCCCCCCCCGCCCCCGGATTCCACTACAAAGAAAATGAGAGGGGTCTAGGCCAAACATGACTTTTTTGGTGTTAGTACTAGAGCTTATACTCAGGGCCTGGGTACCCGTCCCTTAACTTTTTCCACTCAAGACCTGGTGCTCTATCACTTGAGCCACAGTAGCACTTCTGGCTTTTGGAGGATTAACTGGAGATAAGAGTCTCATGAAATTTTCTGCCTGGACTGGCTTCAAACTGTGACCCTCAGAATCTCAGCCTACCTGAGTAGCTAGGATTCTAGGTGTGAGCCACTGGCTCTCTGCTCAGGGGTGTGAAGAGACACTACCTATGCCATAACCTCCATCTGGTCCATGTTTGTTGATTGCATAAGGGCATTGGTTGGTGGATAAATAAGTGCATTTCTTTCTGTATAGCAATGTTGCTATGAACCTGGTTTGGTTAACTACATTAAATGACTTTTTATCTGGCCATTCTCAATGATCCTGTTTTGATGGGAAATATACATTAGTTCAGTTAGATTCTGTAGAGTTTTAAAGGTTTGCTTGAGACTGGTAGTAAGAGAAGGCATGAAAAGAAAAAGGAAATAGGAATATTTACTACATTTATGACTGCTGAGATTCGGGGATGGGAGGGGAGAGAGAGAGAGAGAGAGAGAGAGAAACAGTTTTGAGGCAAATGGGAAGAAGATAGAGAGACACCTTCTCTGCCGTCTGATGGGCGGGATCCAACTTGTATTACTTCCTGCTTATTTTCTTGTCTGGGGCTCTGGTCTTTGAGAAAAGAGTTCACCCTTAAACCCAGACATAATAAACCTGGATATACTTAACATCCAATTTCTTTCCATAAATCGACTCTGTGTTTCTCTTGCAGATTGTAAAAGCATTAGAACATTTGCACAGTAAGCTCTCTGTCATTCATCGAGGTGAGCATTCGTGTGGATAATGAGTTCTTTTTGTTGTGTGAGAGCCTCCCGGCTCCCTTCCACCCATTTCAGCTGCGGGTGGAATTGAGCCAGGCTGGGGAATTAAGGAGCTTTCCTTTGGGATTCCATTGAAATTTATCTAAGTAGCTGTGTTAGCTTTCTGTGATTATAACAAAATACCCAAGGTAATCAAGTTATAAAGAGGAAAGGATTAATTTAGCTCCCAGCTTTGCAGGTTTTAGCTCATGTTTGGTTGGCTCTGTTACTTTTGGGCCTGTGGGGAGGGCAGCGTATGTTAGTAGGAGCAAGAAGATTATCATGTCAAAAGAAGTCTGTGCACCTCAAGGCTGGGAATGAGCGAAAGATGGAGAGATCAGGACCTTTCAGTCCCCTCTGAGGCCAACCCCTCTCCCCATAACCCAAAACTCCTCACCAGGCTTCAACTCGTAAAGGTTTCCTCATGTTTCAGTAGCACCAAGCTGAGGACTAAACCTGTCATACATGGGGTTCTAGGGGACAGTGAAGATTCAAACTATAGCAGCAGATTAGATGATGATGATGATGATGATGATGATGATGATGATGATGATGATGATGCCAGTACTAGGAACTTAGGGCTCCTCAGATGACACTCTACCAACTGAGCTTCAGCTCCACTTCTGGATTTTTGCCAGTAAATTGGAGATAGGAGTTTCACAGACTTTTCTGCTCAAGCTGGCTTTGAACCGAGATCCTCCTGAGTATCTAGGATGACAGGCATGAGCCACCAGTGCCCAGCTATTATCATTTTTAATAATATTATGAATCAGTAGTGTTAAATGCTGAAGAAAAACAGGAGGCAAAGAGAAGAAAGTGAGAAGGAATCTGAGCAGGAAAAAGAATAAATTACTCAGAGAATGTGGAAATGATTTTTAAAGTGTTTATTTCAAAATTATGAACTATTTAATTCCTATCAGAGAACCCATTTAAGGTTCACTGTCAATAAAATGACATTTGTTCTATGGATCATTTTTTTAGAGAAAAATTAGAAAGGATAGTTTATAAAACTTTTAGAATTAGCTTTTCTTCTTATTTTCTGTATATTTTGAAGTGCTGAAAAGGAAAAAAAAAGGAACTGTAATGGCTAATTTCATTATCCAGTGATAACTGGTTCCTCTTTTTGGGTCTGTGAGTATAAGGTTTCATTTAAAATCTCTTCAATAAGACCCCATCTTCGTGACCAGCTGTGGTCTGACGTATATCGGTTTATAACCCTTTACCCTGGGGTGGCATTTTCACCATCTCTCATGTGAATTTGAATCAAAGCTGGCTACTTTGACCGTATGGGATGCATTATTATTATTATTTTTCTGTGTTGGTACTAAATCTTAAAGTCGGGGCCTGGATGCTGACCTGTAGCTTTTTCTCTCAAGGTTAGCACTCTACCACCTTAACTCCATTCCCGCCCCCCCCCCTTTTAAATTGAATATTTGTTTTTTTTTTTTTTAGTTTGGAGGCAAAGCTTTGGCCTAGCCCTCATTCTCTTTCATATTGTCTTCTATTACTTCAGTAAAGAATAGACATTGATTATTTAATAAACGTCTGCTGAAAGAACAAATGTTAATTGAGTTGACTATGAAAGTAACTTATTGATATTAGAGTTGACATTGACGGTTTGTCCAAGTACTATAGGATTCTAGGGTTATACACTGCAACTTCACATGCTTAAGTCGGGATACTGAAGATGTATATAGGAACAATAGCCAGGCATGTTGGAATATACCTGTAACCCCAGTATTCATGAGTCTGATCCTGGGAAATTGCAAGTTTTTTTTAACTGATTAGTTGGAGATAAAAATGTTGGCTTTGAACCACGATGTCAGACCCCTGAGTAGGTAAGATTACAGGCTTAAGCTGTGTTTACTATATTAGTCTTTTCTTTTCATTCCTGGATTTTTTATTCTCTCACTAAATACACAGTAAATATCATTTTCAACTGAATATTCAATGAAGTCCATGGTAATCTGTCTTTAAGTTCTTATGTATAAAGGTAGTAGAAAAAAATGCTAGGTCAAGAAGAAACAGATCTTTCCATGTGGTGATTCCTAAGTCTGTAAGACACTGACAAAACACAAAGAAAGACGAACCCAACTACTAGAAACAGTATGAGTTTGGCCGCTGGGACAATGGGTACACATTTGTGTTGGGGGAAAAGAGCAGGCGAAGGACTGACATAGACTTCACGCCCTCTGCTGGTAGAACAATGAATCTGCAAAGCAAGCTGATGTGTTGGAATGCTGGTTCTTGCTTTCAGACGTCAAGCCTTCTAATGTGCTGATTAACACTTTGGGCCAAGTGAAGATGTGTGATTTTGGAATCAGTGGCTACCTGGTCGACTCTGTTGCAAAAACAATTGATGCAGGTTGCAAACCATATATGGCCGTAAGTATAGAGGAGGTGGGGGGAGGCGAGGAAGGGGGATTGTGGCAACTAGAAGTGACTCTACCTAAAGGAAAAAAAAATATATGCTGGAAACGAGGAAATGAATGGCCTCAGAGGGAAAAGCGAAATGTGTTCAAAACCTAAGATATTCTGCATCATTTTGTTTCTGTGAATACTTCGGATACAAAATACTCAGAAGCTTGCCACTTTTATTTTTCAATTTGTTATCGTAAATTTGTTATTAGAAGTTTAACTGCCATTTAACAAATGAATGTAACAAATGATGAATGGAATGCATCTTTACCAATGTCACCTTTCCACCTTCTCCCCCATCTCTCCCCTACTCCTCCCCCGACTCTTCTTAATTTTGTAGGATGCACATTGGATTCTTGTCTGTGTTTCCGCCCCCCTCTTCTCCTCTCTGTCTACTCCTTCCTCCTCAACCCCATCCCACCTTTTTTGAATACCCACTTCCTGGTGTTTTATTTTTTTTTTGTCGGTCGTGGGGCTTGAACTCTGGGCCTGGGCGCTGTCCCTCAGCTCTTCAGCTCAAGGCGAGCGCTCTACCACTTGAGCTACAGCGCCACTTCCGGTTTTCTGGTGGTTTATTGGAGATAGGAGTCTCACAGTCTCTCCTGCCCGGGCTGGCTTTGAACCGCGATCCTCAGATCTCAGCCACCTGAGTAGCTAGGATCACAGGCGTGAGCCACCAGCGCCTGGCTTTTCCTGGTGTTTTATTTGGCTGAACTTTGATTTTGGTTTCTAGAGAATTCACCATTTGAGATCTCCCTTGAATCTACTGTATTTCAGTTAATACATTTGCATACACTTGCATGCCACCTGATGAGTTTACTTATAAGTTTGTAAGCTCAATCTAGTTTCTACATGTAAGGGAAAACATGCATCCCTTGTCTCTCTGGACCTGATTTACTTCACTTAGCATACTTTTTCCTAAGTTGTTCCACTTATTTACAAATGGAACAATATTATTCTTTCTAATGGATGAGTAAAATTCATACACACACACACACACACACACACACACACACACACACACACACACGTACCACATTTTCTTGATCTATTCATCCATTGAGGGGCATCTGGGCTGACTCCATACCTTGGCTATGGTGAATAGTGATGCAGTAAACATGGTTGTGCCAGTGACTTCACTGTATCCTGGTTTGTAATCTTTTGGGTAAATGCTCAGGGGATGGAATTGCTGGATCACAGGGTAGTTCTGTGTTTAATTGTTTGAGGAACCTCTGCACTGCTTTGCAGTGTCCTGACATGGAAGAAGGGATGAGGGACTCCCATAGCTTCTTTTATAAAGGCACTAACCCAGCTTATGAGGCTGCAGGCTGCACTGATAGTCTCATTAGCACTTCCTGTATGGCCACCTGCGTGAAATGATTGAGACTTTGATTTTGATGGACATAAACCATCAGATTTTAGTTTATATATTACTCTCAATAGTATGATAAATGGGATACATCCGAAATACATATAAGAAATACTTACTGACTGCATGATTTTCCACACTGAGTTGTAGGTTGGGAACACAGTAGCAGGGAGAATTTAACTTCCCTGCACAGGACAGTTGGCTTAGTCAGGAGCAAATCCCATCATTGTGAAGATTCATTGCCATCAACAGAGACACTGGGATTCTCTTTAGCTGAAAGATCGAGCACTATGCTCTACTTGGAAATAGAATTGTGTTTGGAACTGAGAAGCTTCTTAAAAATTGGTTAGATTGGGGCTGGGAAGGTGGCTCAGTGGTAGAGCGCTTGCCTTGCATGCATGAGGCCCTGGGTTCAATTCCTCAGCACCACATAAGCAGAAAAAGCCAGAAGTGGCGCTGTGGCTCAAGTGGTAGAGTGCTAGCCTTGAGCTGAAGAGCTGAGGGACAGCACCCAGGCCCAGAGTTCAGGCTTTCCCATGACTGACCAAAAAAAAAAAGCAACAACAAAAATTGGATAGATATGTTGAACTCCAGATAGTAGCCTAAGATTTCCTATGGGTTCTTTCCACTGAGTACTGGGCTTAAGGTGTATTTAGCTAGTCAGTATTTTGTAGTGTGCACCTCTTTCTTTCTTTTCTTTCTTTCTTTCTTTCTTTCTTTCTTTCTTTCTTTCTTTCTTTCTTTCTTTCTTTCTTTCTTTCTTTCTTTCTTTCTTTCTTTCTTTCTTCTGTTTATGTGGTGCTGAGGAATCGAACCCAGGGCCTCAGGCATGCAAGGCAAGCGCTCTACCACTGAGCCACCTTCCCAGCCCCCACCTGTTTCTTTTTAAAGCAACATTAAAATTTGTTATGAAGGGCCTTTGATCAATTGCTGTCTCTTAAGAAAAAAAATGAACAAAAAGAAAAGAAAACCCACTGAAATATTGCATGATATAGGAGGCATTCTAACAACTTAGAGGCTGGATCTGTCCACCCCACCCTGAGTCACTATGGTGCTACAAATGTCGCTTGTCTTTCCTGTTTCTCAGTTTTTTATCTTCTTTCCAGCCTGAAAGAATAAATCCAGAGCTCAACCAGAAGGGATACAGTGTGAAGTCTGACATTTGGAGTCTAGGCATCACCATGGTAGCGTATGAGACTCGGCGTGGGGCTTTGAGATTCTGAGCATGAGTCTGGGATGGGGTGGGTTTGGGGACCATGGAGTAGCTGTATCAGCGTGTGTGTTGGGCATCCTTTATAGCATGCAGTGGGAGGTGATTCTTTGGGGTTTTGAACTCGGAGCCGTGCACTTGCTCTGCAGTCAGTCACTGTTTTGCTTCAGCCATGTCTCTAGCCCTTCTTTGCTTGTAGTCATTTTTTCCAGATAGGTTTTCTTTACTTTTTGTCCATGGCTGATTTCACAACTTGATTATCCTACCACTGTGCCTGGGCTTATGTGTTGAGATGAGGAGGGGGAGGTCTTACTAACTTGTTTGCTTGGGCTGTCCTTGAACCATGATCCTCCTCTTGCTGCCTCCTGAGTACCCAGGATTCCTCGTGTGTTAATTGTTTGAAATATGATTTAGTAGAAATTCTGGAGTGGGTTGGGTCAGCCAACTTTTATTCTGCTTCTTACCACTGGTTTCCCCTTGAATGACATGGCTTTCTCTTTTCCTCCTGTAAAGCAAGAAGGTCTGAGTTCATTTCTTTCGGTTTCAACTACATTAGTCTAATCAAGGCAAGAAGCCTAAGCTACACCAAAGGTCCTGACGTGTGTAGATTCTGGTGTGACCACCGTGTTGTTTGGCTGTGATTCTAAGTTATTTTTATATAAAAATCTTGGCTGGCCAGCACCGGTGGCTCACACCTGTATTCCTAATTACTCAGGAGACTGAGATCTGAGGATCATGGTTTGAAGCCAGCCTGGGCAGAAAAGTCCCTTTGAGATTCTTATCTCCAATCAACCACTCAAACACTGGAAGTGGCGCTGTGGCAGAAGTGGTAGAGTGCTCGCCTTGAGCACAAAGAGGCTCAGGGACAGCTCCTAGGCCCTGAGTTCAAGCCCCACAACTGACCAAAAAATAAAAAATAAAGTCTTGGCAGTTTAGGTTAGATATAGCCTCATTACAATAACCAATAGAGTAACGTCCTTATCCCACTCCTACAGTTGAACCATTAGTGCCTTATTCATAATTTTGTAGATCATCAGTTTTCAGTGTGTCTCCAAGGTCTGGAATTATCCACTGTGGTCCAGGCTCCTGACCAGACACAGCAGATGATCAATCCCAGGAGTTATTCCTGCCCAGAAAACACGTGACCCTATAACGGCAAAGTGGCCTTTACTCAAGTCCAAAAAGAGATGAGTCATTTGGTCCTAGGCTACTTAATTTTTTTTTTAATGTTTCCTTTTCACCAAGTGACCTGCAGGTGGCAGCAAAGGAACAGTTCTGCAGAAGTCAGACAATTCCTTTTTGGACTAAATGTGTGAAAACCTGGTTCCTTTAGATCTTAAAGCCTATTCATATATTTTATTATATATATCTCAGTATGTATATATAAGTATTTATATTTGGTTTGGTGCTGGGTCTCATTTAGCTTTTTTGCTCATGGCTGGTGCTCTGTATCTAGGTTTTTGCTGGTTAATTGTAGATAAATCTTTTGTAGATTTGTCTGTCCAGGCTGCCTTTAAACCTTGATTCTCAGATCTCAGCTTGGGTTATAGAGATGAGTCACTGGCACCTGGCTGACATAATTTTTTTCTGTATCAGTATAGTATGCTGGAGAAACATTTTAGAAAGGTTTAAATAACTGTCCCTAGTAAGATATAGGGTTTTTTTTTTTTTTTAAATAATCTCCAGCATTAAGAATGTGAAGGAAAATTGCTCCAGAATAAGTTATTAGTTTAATTTTTCCCCCTCTCTACTCATACCTGAATTTCACCTTTGACGTAGCTGATTCTCCTCGAATGGATCACAGCTGATCCTCTAGGGAGCTCTTTCCACTGGTGCTCACCTGTTTCTTCTCCATTCTAGATCGAGCTGGCAATCCTCCGGTTTCCCTATGATTCATGGGGAACTCCCTTTCAGCAGCTCAAACAGGTGGTTGAAGAGCCATCACCGCAACTCCCAGCCGACAAGTTCTCCGCAGAGTTTGTTGACTTTACCTCACAGTGGTAAGGGCGCCCCCGGGCCAGCGCTGAACACCATGCTTGCTCAGGGATAACCTCTATTGGTTTCTATCCATCAAACACTATCATTTCAAAAGCATCTGTTATCTGTGCCTTCCATTCTGGGGAACACCGTGGCTACATCCCGTTCTCTGCCATCTCTGAGCTCCGAGTTTACTAGCCAAGCCTCATAAATTGATAGGTCCAGCGGTACATCATTATAAGTTGACAGGTCCAAAGCTATAGATATTTTTAGGGTATTTTTTTTTAGGGGGGGGAACTCCGAGGAAAGGCATTGAGAGAGTTTTTTTTGTTTTGTTTTGTTTTGTTTTCCTGAAGAAGATGAATCTTGAGCTGAAGATTCAGGAGACATTTTCCAAATGAGTGGGAAATAGAGAAGGAAAGGTATTCTAAACCAAAGGAGCACTTATAACCCATAGGGACACAAAAATAAGAAACGCCTCCCTGAAAGCTGTCAGCAATCTAAGGTCAATTACAGCATAAATAGACCTGCTGGAAGTGTAGGATGGGGAAATTGATGCCAAGAATTACTTCCTGGGAGGTCAGCGGGTACCACAATAGTACTGGAACTCTTGTACAACAGCAGAGTCTACAAACATTTGATAACTATGGATCAACTTGCCCAGTAAGGCATAGTAGGCAGGGCTAAGAGTCTGGAGAGAATCTTGGAATGGAAAGAGCCACATGACGGTTGCAAACTTTTTGTTTCCATGGACATTACAAATGCATTCAAGGAACGTTAGGGAGGGGCTAGCATATTCTGCACGGTAGCTGGGGGTAGGGGGTGCTGGATAGGGCTGGCAGTAATGACAGTGCCGTGGAATGAAGGAAATCGAGTATAAAACACAAAGTGAAATGGAGTTGGTTTATATGGGAAGCTGGAGGAGGGGTAGGAAGGAGAGGCCCAGCTAGTAACAATGTCCGCAGTGATCTTGGGAGGGGAGTAATATTGGCCACTTCGTTGATCTAGAAGGACTTGGAAAAGCCGAAAGCTCTTCAGGGTTACACGTCCAGAGCCTCTTTCCTTGGTTTTGTATTAGTTTGTTCTTTGGGGAAAAAGTGCCTTGAATCCAGCTTAAAGCAACTGGGTATTTCTATGAAACTAAGTTCCTCTGGAGTTTTCATGAAGTGTGTTTGTCTTAAGTCCCTTTTTACCCATGTGGCTTGTCTTTAATGATTCATGAGGCTGGCCGACCAACAAGGGTTTGTTTTGGTTTGGGCTGAATGGCCACCCTAAGCTCTAATGCCTCTAACCTCTCTTCAGGTGTGCCTTCGTGTCTGTCTCCTTCTCTTGTGAAGAAGGTGATATCTCAGCCAGCTTGAAAACAGGGTCATGGTTTTCCCTCTCGATGGAAAGACCTTGGTTTTTGTTGTTTTGCTTTACTTTCTTCCTCCACTCTTTCCCCCGCCCAGCGCCACCTCCACCCATCACTTTATCCCCAAGTTGGTAAAAGGTAAGTCATCTTGGATAGTTGACACCCATGGTTCTGGAAGGGGCAGTAAGGCAGGGAGGATCTTCCCTGGGGAGGTCTCTCCAGATCCTCCGTCTTCTTGTCCTTGACCTGGGAATATTTTAGGAAACACCGGTAAGAGTTAAGATATCGGTGCTAAGTTTCGGAAAGCAGAGTCGTTCTTTGTTAACTGCCAGTTTCATCCAGTAATTTTTCTTCTTTTTTTTTTTTTTTTTGTTATGAGGTTTGGACTCAGGGCCTGGGCATTGTCCCTGAGCTCTTTCATTCAATGTTAGTGCCCTACCACTTTGAATCACAGTGTTACTTCCCATTTTCTGGTGGTTTATTGGAGGTAAGAGTCTCATGGACTTTCCTGCCTGGGCTGGCTTTGAACCATGATCCTCAGATCTCAACCTCCTGAGTAGCTAGGATTACAGGTGTGAGATACTAGCACCTGGCTAACTCTGGCTTTTTATAAATCTCTAGCTGGCTTTCAGAAGTACTGTCCCCTAAACCTTGCCTTCAGTAATTCTAAATATTATTATTTTTTTTGGGGGGGGGTCCAGTCATGGGGCCTGAACTCTGGGCCTGGGCGCTGTCCCTCAGCTCTTCAGCTCAAGGCTAGCGCTCTATCACTTGAGCCACAGTGCCACTTCCAGCTTTTTTTTTTTCTGCTTATGTGGTGCTGAGTAATCAAACCCAGGCCCTCATGCATGCAAGGCAAGCACTCTACCACTGGGCCACCTTCCCAGCCTCTATTGGTTTTTTTCAAGCATTCTTTTTTTTTTTTTTTTTGTCAGTCATGGGGCTTGAACTCAGGGTCTGGGTGCTGTCCCTCAGCTCTTCAGCTCAAGGCTAGTGTGCTACCACTTGAGCCACAGCACCACTTCTGGTTTTCTGAGTGGTTTATTGGAGAAAAGAGTCTCATGGACTTTCCTGCCCACGCTGGCTTTGAACCATGATCCTCAGATCTCAGCCTCCTAAGTAGCTAGGATTACAGGCGTGAGCCACTAGCAGGTGGCTTTTCTCCCCCCATCCCCTTTTAACAGATATTTAAAACATGAAGACCTTGAGGTTGGGACTATAATTCAGTAGTAGAGTCCTCTGTGAGGCCCTGGTATGATCTCCAGCATACTCTCTCTCTCTCTCTCTCTCTCTCTCACACACACACACACACACACACACACACACACACAGACCCAACAAAAGAAGAACACTATCAAGAAAAACAAAAACCAAGCCTTGTCACGTACGGTGCTCCCAGATGCCCACATTATTGTGATCATCACGATGCCTCCTCCCCGTCTCCCACCTGCACCTATAATGTCAGCATGGTGGATGTCCCTCGGAGATCTAGCTTCATTTCTCTAGTTGATCTTAGTTACCATAATCCATTCATTTAAGTATTTTTTTTTTGGGGTCCGGTCGTGGGGCCTAAACTCTGGGCCTGGGCGCTGTCCCTCAGCTCTTCAGCTCAAGGCTAGCGCTCTACCACTTGAGCCACAGCGCCACTTCCGGCTTTTTTCTTTTTGCTTATGTGGTGCTGAGGAATCGAACCCAGGGCCTCAGGCATGCAAGGCAAGCGCTTTATCACTGAGCCACCTTCCCAGCCCCTCATTTAAGTATTTTGAGCTATAGATGTGTTTCAGGGGATGCCCACCCCCCTTCTATGCACCTTGTTTTATCCTATGTCAAGACTTGCCTTCTTCATGCCGTTTATTGACCATGATAACAGTAGGAAAAAAAAACAACCCACAAATCATTTCACTTTCGAAGTTGCCAATGGGCAGATTTTTTTTTTTTTCCTCTGGCCAGCTTTGCAGCTGACAGCGCTGGTAGAATCTGATCCTGGGGAAGGGCAGCTTCGTACACTGGCGAGTCACTCCTGGTGAGATGGGAGTTTGGAAATGGCAGGAAAGCATTCATTCTGACTTTTATGAGCATTCTTACTTCTCCTCAGCTAGGCTTTAGGAGAGCCTCCAGTTCCCACGACAGTAATGTTTCTGCTTGCCATAAACCACTGAAGTATTTTTCTTTGCTACCCCCTAAGGATGAGCATTAAATTATTTTGAAGCCAATGGAGTTGAAAATTGCACTGATATTTTTCTTTTATAGATCTTATGACTGGCTTTATAGACCGACTTCTTTATGGAAGAAATGTCTTTTTTTTCCCCTCATAAATATTAACACATGGGCATACACCTCCACTCAGCAACGATCTAGTTAATGCACTTGAAGTGCTTCACTCTTTCTTTATTGTTACCAAAGAACACCTATTTCTTGATAAAGAGAAGAATATAGTCTATGAGTAGAACTCCTGCTGTAGGCTAGTCTTCTGTTTTCCTGATCCTAATCTGTACTGTTGAATAGCTTGGTGCTAGAGGTTCATGCCTATAATCCTAGCTCCTCAGGAGGTTGAGATAGGAGAGTCACAGTTAGAAGCCAGGCTGGACAGATAAATCTGAGAGACCCTTATCTTTGATAAAGGAGCAAAATGATGGCAGTGGAAGTGTTGCTCAAGTGGTGGAGTGCCAGCCTTGAGGAGAAAAACTAAGCAAGAGAGAGGCTCTGAGTTTAACCCTAGTACTGGCACATGCACACACATAAAGTAAAGCTGTACTATTGAAGCTTGCTTGCTTGCTTCCTTCCTTCCTTGATTTCCTCCCTCCCTCTCTCCCTCCTTCCCTCCCTCCCTTCCTCTCTCTTTCCCTCTCTCCTTCCCCTCCCTCCCTTCCTTCCCTCTTTCTCTTTGCTTTTACTGGGGCTCTGACTCAGGATCTCTTGTTCTTGTTTAGCTCTGGCCTCATGGATGGTGCTCCTACTTGAGCCATACCTCCCCTACAAAAACTTGTCTGTATAATATGCCTGCTGCGTTGCATTGTACAACACAGCCCAGTGGCGATCCTTCACAACTTCCCCACAGTACCTCACAGCTTGGTGAGAAGCAGGAACAAAGGCTTAGAAAGCCAGGCTTTGAATCTCAAAATTCAAGATGGATAGAGCCATGTGTTAAGGCCTGATGTCTGTATTTGGATTGAAGGTAGAGGAAGGATGCATCCCCCTTCTCCTGGGGAATCTGCTGGAGAATTTGGGGCCTCCTTTGGGATGAATGCTTGCCTAGGCGTTGGATCACCTTACCTTTGTGCATGGTGCCTGCATACCTGTGCACACGGGGTTGGCTTGGTAGCCACTGCCTACAGGCCCACCTTTGTGTCAGGTGATGGCAAGTCAGTCTCTGGACTGGCGAAGAAAGCACTTACAGGTTTCCTCATCAGACTCGAAGTGAGCTCTAGAGTCCAGATTTTAGAGGCTGCATTTCTTGTGCAGTAGTAACACCAGAAAAGGTATAGAAGGAAGGAAGATAGGGAAGTATGGGACTGCCTACAAATGCTTCCCTCCTGTACTTCTTTTCAAAGAGGACTACTGAGTGGTGTTTTCATCTTCCTTTTCCTGTATGTATTCTTTTCTGAGTTCCTCAGGCGGGTAGTGTCAACCACATACGTAAGCTTTGTTTTGAGATTCATCACAGGGGAATTGAATAGAAAACCTTATAGTCTAGCCTTAGGAAGGGTTAACAAATGAGTTTCTCTATCTAGTGGATTTGTAGCAGCCTTAGGTTTTCATCGTAGCTGCTTTCCATAGGTTCATAGAAGTCACTGCAAATCAACACCCTCTGGCAAAATAGCTAGACTTATTTTTGCTTTCCTTCCAGGCTTATTTAAGAGACTCAAGGCCCCTCTGACCAGCACCAAGGCCTATTGGAGTTTGTTAGGAACTCTTCCAGTGGTCAATACTATCTGACTCAGGAAAATGAGTATACACCAGGGACAACTCCAATTGTCTCCAGCTTGTTCAGAAAGGACAATAAAAAGAGGCACTGGATATTTATTTAGCTTTTGACATATGTATGGCTGGAGAGGCTCGATGTGTTTTTATTCTGTGGACAGACCAAATAGTCCTTCTTGGAAATGGTCAGTGGGATTTCAAATGTGCAGAAATCTTCCGGTCAGCACAAAGGCCAGGCTAGCAATTCTCAAGGCTGCACGAAGCTGGGTTTTAGTGTCAGCTACGGTTAGAAGCGTGTTTTGTGGCATTTGGAGAGGAATTAGGGCAGCTAGCCAATTGTGTGCTTGAAAAATGACAAGCTACGTGAAAATTCAGAAGTCTGGAATTAAATCCCAAAAGAAATTAGGGTAGCTTTGAACTTTGAAGTGGTTATTTTATACTGAATTTCGAGCTCTTCCTATTAGATGTGGAAAAATATACCCCTCCTTCTCCCACCTATAACCCTATCTTGGGTATTTTGTGATTGTTAGTGAATGTTTTGAAGTGTCCTTAAGTTAAAAGATGGAGAAAATGGGTTCTATCAATTGTAGGAATTCAATAAACAACATTGCTTTGCTTTTTTTTTTTTCCTTCCCCATCAATATGCTATAGTAGAGCTTTGGGTAAACTTTCCTTTTTAATCAAGTGTATAAATCTCTGGGTGCTGGAGCCTCATACTTGTAATCCTAGCTCCTCTGGAGGCTGAGATCTGAGGATCACATTTTAAAGCCAGCCAAGACAGGAAAATCCAGGAGGTTCATCTCCCGTTAACTACCAAAAAGCCTGAAGTGGAAGACTTCCAGTCTTGAGCAAACAAGCTAAGCAACAGCACCCAGGCCCTGAGTTCAAGCCCCAGTACTGCCACACACACAAAAGAAGGGTATAAATAAAAAAAGTGGTCCCTTGACTAGCAAACTCTGAGTTTTCAGGAATATGAAACACTTTATGATCAACTTGGGGTACTTTTTTTTTTAAATACAGACTTGTAAATGAAAGAATATTTCTGGAGAAAATTCCCTTGACACTAATGGCAGTGAAATGATAAAATAACTTGGCTCAAATTATTGTAAATTAAAAGTGGAAGAGTTTAAGCCCTTCTTCCTCTGCTTCTATTGGGAAGAGAGGGATTCCTTTCGTTATGTACTGATGTAGAGATTCAACAGTAAGTGATATTACAAAGATCCTTGGTGAAGAAGCTATTGTTTGAACATTTGAGAAACAGCACTGATCTGGCTGATTATTCCTTTAGCCAGACACTGGCTAGGTGAGTGTGTGTGTGTGAGCTCACACCTGTAATCCTAGATACTCAGGAGGCTGAGACCTGAGGATCACGGTTCAAACCAGCCCAGGCAGGAAAGTTTGTGAAACTCTTATTTCCCAATTAATCACAGAAAAATCTAGTAGTGGCACTGTGGCTCAAGTGGTAGAGTGCTAGCTTTGAGCAAAAGAAGTTCAGGGACAGCACCCAGTCCCAGACCTCAAGCCCCAGGACTAGCATTAAAAAAAAAAAAAAAGAAGCATATCAATTTTAATATGCAATTAGGGTCCAAACAGAAACACTGGAAGCAAATCCCTTGACTATTAAATGTGGATTTTATGTTATGTTTCTGCATCTTGCTGTTGATTTAGCAGGTTAAATTGTTCAACCTTTAGAAAAGAATTTCTGGCCTTTGGTTGGCTTTGAATAAAAGCTAGAAATTCAGTGCTTTTCTACATTATTTTTTACACAGCATCAGTATGCAAATGAGCAGTGCCCACAGATCACGTTTCCTCTGTGTTTCTTTGAACTAGCTCCTGAACTTAGAAAAACTTTGCTTCTAGAAAAATGGGGGAAAAGGATAGAGAGGCAGGAAGTGGTAGTGATGACACTAATGTGCCTACATCGCAGATGAACCAGCTATTACTTGCAATTTACATTGCAAGCTGGGTGCTGGTGGCTCAGGCCTCCAATTGGCTACTCCAGGAGGCTGAGATCTGAGGATTGTGGTTTGAAGCCAATCGGGGCAGGGAAGTCTGTGAGACTCTTCAGCTAACCACCAGAAAACCCGAAGTGGTTGCTGCCGTTCCAAGTGGTAGAGCACTAGCCTTGAACAAAAGAACTCAGGGACAGTGCCCAGGCCCTGAGTTCAAGCCCCATGAATGACCAGATTGCAACCCAGAGAAGATGATAGGAAGTTAGAGTAGGAAGATCTCTCCTAGGATGTCATCCAGGGTTTCCTGCCCTTGGTGCAGAGGGCATTTTGGAGTGGCTCATTTATAGGATGGTCATCAACCACCCCGGGCTCTACCTAGTGGGGGCCAGGAGCAATCTGGCCACTAGTTATGACAACCCAAAGTGACTCCAGACATTGCCAAATGTCCCCCTTTGGGTCAGATCACCTCCAGGTGAGACCCACTGACCCGGGCTCTCTGGATCCAGGTAGCTGGCAAAGCACACGTGAAGTTATTCATCCATTTCACACAGGCACACCTTCCCACGTCAATCCAACATTGAGAGTGGCCAGCCATTCCTCTTATTCTCAGTCGAGATGGACTTTCTTCCCTAAGTTGTGTGGTCTCTGAGCTCACGTAGGTTCTAGGTCTGCCCTCCATCCCAGGTTGCAACTTCTGTCCTCACGTCTACCTGTGCTCTGTCTCACGTTCCCTGGCATCTACCTGCCACACTGCCTGGAATCAACTGGTAGGCTGCTTTTAAGTTGTTTTAGTTCAACACAGAAATGAACACAAACCCTCCCTCCTTCTCATCTTGTTTATTAAACCATAAATCCTCCAAGTGTCCCAGTGGCTTCTTTTTCTCATAGTTCTGCACTTTGCCCTTTCATGATGAGTTCTCAGCTCCTCAAAATGACCCGCTAGCACAACTCCTAGCAACCTAATAATTAGTCACATTTGACTTCCTTCAATACCAGGCTCAGTTCCTTTCCATTCCCGTATGATTTTGTGGCCCAGTGTGCACAGGATAACTTGTAAACCATAATTTTTCTCCTTTCTGTCATGTGGGATTATAAGTTTTCTCTTTTTTTTTTCTGGGGGTGGGTTGAGGACAGGGGTGAAGGGCTGGTCTCTTTCATCTTGCAATTTTATTATTATTGCCTCTAGTATCCAATGTTATTAAATGTCTATGTATGCAGAGATCCAAACGACCACTTGTTAGTAGTGCATGACTGCAAAGTATGTCTTAAGAAGAATAATTGCTGACTTGCTGACTAAATGTGCTTTGCTCTTTTATCAGCAAGGATGAAGTAAAGAAGTAGTGTTGTCTTAGAAACGTGATGGGTTTAGTTAGGGATATATGAAAACAAATTATAGTCGGACACTGGTGGCTCATACCTGTAATCCTAGCTACTCATGAGGCTGAGATTTGAAGATCAAGGTTCAAATCCAGCCTGGACAGGAAAACCCAGGAGACTTTCATATGTAATGAACCACCAAAAAAGGTGATTTAAGTGGTAGAGCTTCAGCATTGAGTGAAAATCTTAAGGGACAGCATACCAGGCCTTGAGTGCAAGCCCCAGTACCACTACACACACACACACACACACACACACACACACACACACACACATACACACACACACACACACAAGGAAATTACATATAAATTCAAGGGAACTAGAATCAAGGAGAACCAAGTAGTTGAAGATATAGGAGAGATAATGAGTGTATTATCTAGGGAACACTTGCCCATTTCTTTGCCAGTTGGGGGTAGGATTGAATGGTATTCAGAAGGAAAGTAGATAGGTCTTTGTAATGGCCGTAAGTCAGAAAAGTTAGTCTGAATGTCACTGGTAAAGTATCAAAGAAAAGTGAATACAATACGACACACACACAAACTTCTATTTTTTTAAAAAGATACATTCGTAGTGATTGAAGACATAATTTATAAGTATAGCAGCAGGCAGCATCAGAAGGCCAAATAGGAGGCCCTTGTACTCCATACACTTTCTTTTTTTTGGGTTGGTCGTAAGGCTTGAACTCTGGGCCTGGGTGCTGTCTCTCAGCTCTTGAGCTCAAGGTGAGCGCTCTACCACTTGAGCCATAGTGCCACTTCTGTTTTCTGGTGGCTAATTGGAGATAAGAGTCTCATGCACTTTCCTGCCCAGACTGGCTTTGAACCATGATCCTCAGATCTCAGCCTCCTGAATAGCTAGAATTATAGGTGTGAGCCACCTGTGCTCGGTTTCTCCATACACTTTTAACTACTGTAGTTAAAGTAGTTAAATCAATTTTCTGTGGGTTCCCAGTTCTGGTTTTCTGAAAGATAGGTTCTAGAGTTTAATGTGATTCTTTTTTTTTTGTTGTTGTTGTTCAGCTTGAAGAAGAATTCCAAAGAACGGCCTACCTATCCAGAGCTTATGGTGAGTATTAGCCATAGCAAATCCAAATTAATAAATAAATAGCTCCAAAGTAGTAACTAGTGAAGTAGTTTTGTTGTAATTAAATCATCACATTGGACAAGTTGATCCATTGAGATATGATTAACAGGGATTAGATTTAAGGAAAAGAGTTAGGAGTCCTTTATTCATTACACATCCTTTTGCAAACTATTATTTGTACAAGGGGGTTTTATTGCAGCATTTAATACAAAGTAGGATCATGTCAACTTTTTCAGCAAGTTTTTTATAGGCTGATAAACCTGTCATGATATAGACTGAGTTATGTCTATAGAATTATAATTTCAAATATAAAGGATACTTGTGGTTAGAAATCACAATATAAGCATAAGAAAGTTGGGTGCTGGTGGCTCCCGCCTATAACCCTAGCTGTTCAGGAGGCTGACATCTGAGGATCACAGTTTGAAGCCAGCCTGGGCAGAAAAATCTGTGAGCCTCTTATCTCCAACTAACCAACAAAGAGCTGGAAGTGGAGGTATGATTCAGGTGGTAGAGTGTCAACTTTGAGCTAAACAAACAAACAAATATAAATGAGCATACAAGGCCCTGAGATCAAACCCCAGTATGGGCCTCCAAAAAAGGAAATAAATAAAATCAAGGAAAGCATGACTGAAAGAGAATCAAATGATAAGAGACACTTAAAAGTTATATAGTGGGGGCTGGGAAGTTGGCTCAGTGGTAGAGTGCTTGCCTCACATGCATGAGGCCCTGGGTTTGATTCCTCAGTGCCACATAAGCAGAAAAAAGCCAGAAGTGGTTCTGTGGCTCAAGTGATAGAGTGCTAGCCTTGAGCTGAAGAGCTGAGGGACAGTGCCCAGGCCCAGAATTCAGCCTCCACATCCAACAACAACGAGAAAAGTTATATAGTGGGCACCATCTTTTGATGAAATAGTTGGGATTAATTAGATGAACTTCATTTTGGTGGTGACAGAGTTGAAGAAAAGAATCACTTTTCTCTCTTGGCCTTTACACGAATGGAAACACACTGTGAGAAACCATTCTTAATTTGAATTTTGCATCCATTCATAAGCACTTGTTCCATTAGTGAAAAGAGAGATGAAAACAAAGCTTACTGCTGTTTTTTTAAAGTAGTCTCCTTTAGATGGTAGTCATCAGTGTTCTAAGCTATCAATAAATGATTCTTTGGTGCAGATGGACAAGATTTTGACCTTCCCTCTACTCTATCTAAGCCCTTTTTGAATGTGAGGTAAGCATATTTTGGGGAGAGGTAGACTATCCAGACCACTTAGGACCGACTCAGTGTTAACCTCGACCCCCTCGTAATTAAGGTTTGAATTTTTAGCAGAGGAAGGAGAGAGTTAGCATTCGTGTCCAATTTCAAAGAAAGAAGAGAAAGCATTGAGAGTGTCTTTTCTGTACGGAGTGGTTATCGGTAGTCTCGGAATGTTGTTCACTCCCATTCTTTGCTGTCCAACATCTGAGCTGACTTCATGCCCAGCTCAGGGTAGCAGAGATGTGCAGGGTCCTATACCAGATGGAATGGCGAGGTGGTGGTGATGTGTGAAGAAACACAGCTTGGAAGTGTCAAGTCACAAGAGCTACACAGAACATGGTCCAGGGCCAAGTGAGAGTATCACAGCCAGTCATGTGGACTTTCAGTTCTTTTTAAGTCGAGATTATTCTCCAGTTGGATGAATTGGAGTCAGGATCATCTCCTTGGGTCTCCACTGTTTCCTTTTAAAGAACATAACCCAGGGCTCAACACTCAACAGCTTTATTCCCCTAAGACCTAAAATTAAGAAAGGAAAAAAGAAAACAACAAGATGAGTAATAATTGAGACAATCCTAGCACTCTGCATACTTGGGTTGAATATTTTCTCCCTGATTGTTATTATTATTATTTTGGTTGTTTTGTTTTTTGTTTTTGTTGGTCTTAGGGCTTGAACTCGGGCTGCCCCTCAGCTCTTCAGCTCAAGGCGAGCGCTTTACCACTTGAGCCACAGCACCACTTCCTATTATTATTATTATTATTTTTAAAAATGGTCATTCAAAGTCTTTTCAGTTCTGGCTACCCTTGGTGGGATGTTTGGGGGACCTCTAAGGCATTTTAAAATGAATTTCACACCAAGTATGAGAGACATTCAGTGATTCCTGAAGAATTCGACAGAATTTGGAATCTGATTTAAAGTCTCCCTGTGTTGTAATTAATTTCAGATAAAATTATATTTTTTGTGTATAGTTCCAACCATTTTTTTGGGGGGTGGGGTGGGGTGGGGGAGTTGGCTGTAGGGCTTGAACTCAGGGCCTGGTGCTGAGTTCTAGCCATTTTTACATGCAAAACGCTCTCCACTCTACCCCCCTTCACAGTGGCTTCTTATCAGAAGTGTCATCAGAACACATTTAAAAAAAAAGAAAAAGAAATGCTTACTATACATTGGCCTGCTGATGTTGAATTTTCTCTCCCCTTTATGTTCTAACAAACACTGATGTTTTTGGCAAACACATCGATGTTGTCAGATGGTGTGGGTTTGCCTCTTCTTTTCATGACATTAATCTCTGTGGTCCTGGAAATCAGCTTGCCTTTTAAGCCCATTGCTATTCCCTGCTTTCCTGTGGAATTGAGGTTTTTTAAATGGAAAATCTGAGTCCATTGGGAAACACATGGTGGGTGGCTATTATTTAGATTTCAGGAATTCATAAAGAGTTAGGGAGGAAAAATCCATCATTTTTTTTTTTCTGGGTGAAAGGTAGTATACTAGTCCATCAGAGGCACACCCCATGTCTCTTCCCAAATGATTTTCATCCTAATTAAGATGGACAGCCATACATACTTTTTCAATATATAATTTTATTGTTATTATTAAAGTATTGTATAGAGGGACTGTACAAACTTTTAAATCATCTCATTAATTTTTTAAAATTGCTATTATAAAGATGATATACAAAGGAAGGATTACAGTTACAGAGGTCAGGTACTAAGTACATTTCTTTTTGGACAATGTTACCCCTTCCCTCTCTCTCTCCCTCTCTCTCTCTCTCTCTCTCTCCCAGTTTTCCCCTCCCATTGCTACCCACAAGTTGTATAGCTCATTTTCAATGAAATATCTAGTTAAATCATCTGGAACTTCTGACAGGGAGTGAGGAGGTCACTGTTCTTCCAGAGGTGGTAGCTTTTTTTTTTAAGCTTGCTTTTTTGTAAAAGTTGAGATAGTAGTTTAGTATATTGTGGGCCATCTCATTGGTGGTTCTATTGAACTCCCTGTTGCCACCAATAAAAGCCATATTCAGTATGTGAAAGGAAGGCCAGAGTGTGGTCATGTTCCAGTAGACTTCGGTGATCAGGCAGTGAGCTACATTCAGCCTGTGAGCCAGTTTGCTGACTTCTGTCTTCAATGGTAAATACCAGCCATGACAGCCATGTCATGTCGTTCATGTGATTGATAGGTCATTTACATGACGGGTAATTGTAGTCTCCACATGCCTTAGGATATTTTAGTTTGAATTGTATTGTGAAATAAGGATGCTTGAACCTATAGAAAACCATAGTTTTGCTGGGTGCTAGTGGCTCATGCCTTTAATCCTAGCTACTCAGAAGGCTGAGATCTGAGAATCCCTGTTCAAAGCCATCCAGGGCCTGAAAATCTGAGAAACATTTCCAGTTAACCACCAGAGAGCCAGAAGTGGAACTTTGGCTCAAGTGTTAAAATACCAGCCTTGAGCAGAAAGAGCTAAAGGATAGCTCCCGGACCCTGAGTTCAAGCCCCAGTACCAGCACACACACACACACACACACACACACACACACACACACACACACACACACCAATGAAAACCATACATAGCTTTGATGGACAAGGGATTGTCTGTAGGATATTCCGGAGGCCTGTTGATGCTTGAGACCTATCCCTCTGCTCCTAGAAGCTTGTCCATGGGTCTTGATGCTTCCTGGAGTCTCACTACTGTTAACCTAAAGTGGTGTAAAGTCCTTCGTTCCTTATGTAAAGGAATCTAAGTCTGGGGCTACAGTCTGGAATTATTCATCCTGTCTCATCTGCTCATCTCCAGGCTCTTGCCTTGCTACTCTCATTCCATTGCTGACAGAAGGCATCAAATCTCCCGGCATTCTTTGGCCCCTAGGCCCACACAAGACAGCAAATCACACCTCCCGTGTGACATGTCTGCCCTCTTGTCCCCTGGCCTGTGGCTCTCTCAGCATTTTCTCAGCCCTAGAATAAATGGAAAGATGCTTGAAGATTTTTTTTCCCCCTTTTTAAATGTAATGAAAGTGTGGTTGTTTCATTCATGCGGACTTAGGTTGCATCTAGTGAGCTGGCAGCAACCAAGCAAGAGGGAAAGTGGGGAGCTGGGGTGGGGGAAATGGGAGACACTGGAAGTCATCACCAGGACAATCTGAAGTTTGTCTTGTTTTGATAGTAAAAGGCTTTTTAAGTGCATTAAAAGATCTCCAAATGTCAAGAGGATGTGGGAAAGCTAATAGGCCCGGTAATGGCAAAACGCTTGGTTAAGTGCACTCTGTGAGCGGTTAGTGATTGAAAGCCATGCTATGATTTGATGATTTGGCAGTTGGAGGAGCTCAGGGTGAAGGTCTTTTGCCTGCAGCAAGTGACCCTCGTGACTATTGTTGGGTGTCAGCTAGCAGCTAACCTGTATCCTCCGATGAGCAAGAAGAAGACCTCCTTTCCGTTTTTCCACCCTCATGATCCTTACCAGCGACCACCTCCTTCCTTCTGGGTTTTATTTCTCGGTTCCTTCTCCATTGCATTGTTTCCTGAAACTTCCATGGGTGGGCATTCAGTTCTCCACAGCACTGACTCATCCAACCTTCCCTGGTCAAGCTGAAAGCAAAGGCAGTTGGGAAAACCTACAGCTAAGTCACAGGAAGGTTGTAAACGAAATCCCTCAAGTCAGGGAAGCAGAATGAATCATCTCCCAGTCTGCGTGCAGAAATGCTCACAGTGATCTCTTCAGCTAGCCCTGGGAAACATTATCTCCAGACCATGGTGTGTGGGGGTGGGTGTAGACATGTGGCAATAGGCTCTACCTAAATGAACTGTTCTTCTGGGGTTGTTTGGCTGGTCCTGTGCCCACTGTCCTACGGCTTGTGTTCAGATGTATCTCTTTCGAACTAAAGGTAGAATGTTTTACTGTTACAGCCTGGCCCTCACTCTTACACGGTTGGGAGGATGCAGAGAAAAGTGGTGAATTATTTTTGAAATAGGTGGCCTTCTTGCTTCATACCTTGCCTCTTCCTCTAGCAAAGTGCAGGTCTAGATTTGATTTTTTTTCCCCTTAAAGTTTACTTAATGTGAACTGCGTGCATGAAGACCATTTTCCCCCTTCCAACATTTACTTCTCTATGTTGAGATTTCTCTGTACATACCGATAGTTTGGCAGTCTGTGTTATTTTCCAGATGGATCAACTCTTCATCACGAGAGAGACATAAGCATAACTCTTGGCTGTGGCTAAGACTTAGGAAATGGCCTTAACTCTTTCATTCTGAACCAGTTTTCCAAAGGTGTTTTCCTGGCACATTTATTGCTGGGCAAAGCTGGCTTCTTATTTTACCAATTTTTCTTTGCGAAATGAAAGTGCTTGGACCTCTGAAATGTCAAACTATTTTACTATTATATCAGTATAAAGTGTCTTTGTAAGCAGTCTCTATGCCAGAGTTTTGGATGGCCTTTGCCAATCTTTGTATTTTCACGTGATTGGGATTTACAGAGAACTCAGAGTGCAACAGATTCTTGTGGTAGAAACCTAGAGATGTTAATCTAGGCAAGAAGGAAGAGATATCTTCAGAACAGCTACAACACTAATGTGTGCTTGATTTTGCAAGGGGTCAGAAGAACCCAGCTTACCCCTGGTAGGGATAGTAAATCTGTTTATTAAATGGAGCTATGAATTTGCTAATCTCATGTATCATCGTTGACAAATATTAATATCCTGTATTGTTTTTGTCTTTTCTCTCTCAGCAACATCTATTTTTCACCTTACACGAATCCAAAGCAACAGATGTGGCATCTTTTGTAAAACTGATTCTTGGAGACTAAAAAAGCAATGGACTAATTGGTTGACGCTGCTGCGGATTGGTGGGTTTACAGGGGCGAAGCAAGTTCACTAAAGCGCAATTGAAAGTCATCTTTGAGATAATTGAACCTTGCCTCTTTGAGGGTTTTTTCTCCCTAGTTTCTTTCCTTTTTTTCCCCTCGTGAGGGGACCTTGGAATCGATAGCATAGGATGAACTCTCTCTAGATGGATGAAATATGACAACGGCTTAGGACTTAAAAAAAGGTGATTAATTATTTAATGATGTGTCATTGTAAGTCCTTAAGCTTCTCAGCTTTCTCCTGTTCTTTACAAAAAACGAATGCATTGTTGGCCCTGGCAAAAACAAAAACAAAAACCAAAAAGGTGCTACAGTAGTGATGAAATTGTAAGTAGATGTGTAGTTTATCCCACTTATTATTTTAATATTTATGTTTAAGCGCTTGGTTGGAAAGATACCATTTTATGCAAGAAAGGAGCTGCAAAAGAAGGAAAGGTTGGGTTGGCAATATTTATAGGGCTTTTATTTTTTAAGTTCAATCATGTTTGTGGTCCAGAAGAAATTATTTAATATGCATCTTTAAGAATATTATAAAAAAAATCTCAAAAAAAAGGAGCTCTTTTTGTGATGTGTCTATTACAGTTGTATCACAGCTTTGAATGCTGCTCCCAAACTTCAACTCCGTGCTGGGTCAACACCATATCTTTTAACTGAAGTGTCTTCCTGTTTCTCCAGTTCTGGAAAACATGAGACATTATCACTTGTGTCAAAGCTCAAAAAGTAAAGCCTTTGGTTCCCTTGAGATTTGTAGTATAGTATTAGTGGAAACTGATTTGTGGTGTGATTTTATATCTACTGGCCTATGTATTTCTGTGTGTGTGTGTGTGTGTGTGTGTATGTGTGTGTGTTTGGTAAATCAAATCCTGCTAAGTGGCTTCTATGAACATCTAAGTTTAGTATGAAGGACATCTGTCAATCATGAGGGGAGAGAGATGGCAGACTACAGAGAGAATTGTGCCTTCTTCTGCCTTTGTCCCACTTTCATTGGATAATGCCTTTGTAATTGATGTCTCCTCTGCTTTGTTTGTTTTTGTGTTCAGTGAAGAAGACTTAGTATTAGTGGAAGGACTGACACAGAAGGAAATTAAAAACAGTAGTCCTTAGAGAAACTGAAAAAAGACCAGGGAAGGCTGAGTAACTACTCGTAGTGGACAACCAAATTTCCATAGGTTGAGAGGTTGCCTCCTCTTCTCTTTAGCAGAAGCTAATCCCGCCTTGAATCCCCAGCAGGTTGACTAGGCAACCTAAATTCTATTATTTATTCTTCCACATGGCGAAAGACATCCTAGGGTTCTTGGATTTGGAGATGCATATTCCTCTAAGATCAAGAAGTGGAGTCACTAGCAGGGAAAATACTAAGAAACCAGGAACCATCACTTTTGGGCCTTGACTTCATATAAAGGTTGCTCATGAAATACAAAGACAGAGGAGGTTGTTTAAAAAAGGAATGATGGAAAAAGAAAAAGAAAAAAGAGAAAGAAGGAAAAATAAATTGTTTCTCTTGTTTTCTTGTGTTCATCAAAGGGAGAAAGAGACTACTTCACATTCTCCCTCTTCCTTTTAAGTTTTTAAATGAAATATCTATGTTTTTCCATCTTTACTTGATTCTTGCTCATGCAGTGAATACAACACTTATGTATCCTTTGTAGTTGGTTCCAAAAGATACCTTTTTTTTGTTGTTGTTATTGTTGGTCGTAGGGCTTAAACTCAGGGTTTGGGTGCTGTCATGGGTTCTTTTGCTTAAGGTTAGTGCTCTACTGCTTTGAGCCACAGCTCCACTTCCAGTTTTCTGGTGGTTCACTGGTGATAAGAATCTCACACACTTTTCTGCTGGGGCTGGCTTTAAACCATGATCCTCAGATCTCAGCCTCCTAAGTAGCTAGGATTTATAGGCATGAGCCACCAGTCCCTGGCTAAAGGAAACCTTCTTTTTTGTTGGTCATGGGACTTGAACTCTGGGCCTGGGTGCTGTCCCTCAGCTCTTCAGCTCAAGGCTAGCGCTCTACCACTTGAGCCACAGTGCCACTTCTGGTTGGCTGGTGGTTTATTGGAGATAAGAATTTCATGGACTTTCCTGCCTGGGTTGGCTTTGAACCTCGATCCTCAGATCTCAGCCTCCTGAGTAGCTAGGATTACAGGCATGAGCCACCAGCACCTGACAAGGATACCTTCTTGAGTGAGCATCAGCTTCATCTGCTTTGAAGATATGTCTGTTTTCCTGGTTATTCTAGCCAGAAGGGGGTCTTACCCTTATAAGTATAGTCAATTTCCCACTCATTTTCCCACATCTGAAATCTCTCTTTGGGACTGAGAGAATAGTCACAATGGTATTTTCACCCTGTTTACTCATTTCATGAAAGCAGCAAGTAGTGGGAAAAAAATCTGGGGTCCCCACATTACAGCTTGTGAAGTATTTTGATGACATATTTAAAGCCAACCAGCTTTCTCAGCTGGGTCCCATTGCATGCTTACCTGCCTTTCTACTTTGAAATATCCTGAACAATGAGTATATTTCTTAATTGTCCTGTGCAGTCTGTGAGCTCAGGGCTAGAACCTGGAACAATGGCAGCAGTAAGGAGAGAGAATTAGCCTTTGGTTCAACCCTGGAACACTTGGGAATCATCTAGAAGCTTATGAGCACTATTAGTGCCACAGCTGTAGTCCCAATGACTGAGGTTAACTTGGTCCATAGTGGGGTCTGGGAATTAACCTTTTTTTTTTTTTTTTTTAAATAAGCTCTTACATGATTGTGAGGTACAGCAGGGTCAAGAACATTGGATTAGAACCATTGGAGGAGATAATTAACTTTAAATTACCTTCTCTTCAAATCTTCAGAGTGGAAGGTGACTATGAAGAGGAATGGGAGCTGTGACTCTTTTTTTCCTGCCCATGACCAGGGGCCATTCTTGTCACTCTCAGGGAAGGCGTGTCTACAAGAGGTTATTTGAAGATTGAAAGAGTATTTTCCCGGAGAAGCAATATTATGTGTGGCAGTTGAGGGTGTTATGGATCGAAGTATGACTCGATCATCTCATGAGTCTAAATTTTAAAATATGATCATATTTGGGGAGAAATGTATGTAGTTTCTAGGCTATCAACTTGAAAAATAGTCATTATCTGTGGATGTAGTTCAGAGATAAGAGACCCTGCCTGTCATATACAAGGCCTTTCGTTTGACCTCCAGCAACATAAAAATAATCAAGCTATATAAACTGCATAGAAATTGGAAATCTCTTATAGATATAGTCAGATCCATCCATCTATCTATCTATCTAGAAAGATATGTATAGCCAAGGATGAAATTTAAAATATTTAATTATCTACCCCCATGGACCATCTCAATATTATCTCTCTCTCTCTATACATACACTTTATTGTTATTGTAAAGGTGATGTACAGAGAGGTTACAGTTATGTAAGTCAGGCAATGAGTATGTTTCTTCTTGAACAGTGTCATCTCTTCCCTCATTTTCTCCCAGTTTTTTCCTCCCCTATCTATATTGGTCAATATAGATAAATCAGCATCAGTTTCCCAATATATTTGTTTTGGTATTATATTGCCCATATTATGAATTGTCTTATATTTATAAAAAAGTCTCTCTCTCATATAAACATGTGTGCATGCGCATGCGCATGCACACACGTATTTGATTTAAGAAAGTACCCAAAGCATAATGGTAATGGTTTTTAAGGCAATTACCATCTACACAAAATGCCATCAAATAGATCATATGTATATAAGCAATTTTACTGAAATGTTTTCACCACTTCTCTTTCTGAAATCCATTCTTCCCTTCTCCCCTTCTGCCTTTCCTCCCTCCCTCCCTCCCTCCTTACTGCTACTGGGGCTTGATTTCAGGGCCTCTTACTCTTGCTTTACTTTTCTCTCAAGGCTGATACTCTACCAGTTGAGCCATATCTTCACTTCTGGCTCTTTTATGATTAATTAAAACTCTCTCTCAAAATTGTCTTCCCTGCTATGGTTTCAAACTTAGTTCCTCAGATCTCAGCCTCCTGAGAAGCTGAGATTACAGCCATGAGCCACTGGTACCTGGCTTTATTTTTTTAAATATACATATTTTATTGTAGAGATGCTGTACAGAGGGGTTACAGTTACATGAGTAAGGTAATGAGTACATTTCCTATAGAACATTGTAACCCCCTCCTTTGTTTTTCCCCTACCATCCCTTCCCTCCTTATCTCCCCAACTCCTCCCTCCCCACCCTGAAGTTGTAAAGTTCGTTTTCAACATAGTGTCTTGTACATCTCATTGTTGCAGTGGGTCAACCTGTATCCTTATTTCAGCATATTGTTATTTCCCTTTGTTTTTATTTATTTTTTTATACAAAACTCCATACTAGGCATTTTCCATTTTGGCTTACTTGCTTGATTTCTCAGATTCAGCACCAGATTGTGTTTGGTCATTTCTAGAAATTAAATCTACCCTAAGAGCTTAATTCATTATGGAATCTTTGTAAAACATCTTATCCTTGGCTCAGAAGGTAATCTCAAAGGAGGATTACCAAGTCCCACCCCCAGTGGGTGCTTGTTTATTTACCATTCTCCCAGGAATACATGTAGACATCCTAAATGGCTGCTTTGAAGTGGGAAAAAAATCTCGTGCAGATGTATATATCGATAATGTATCAGTCACTGATTTTATACATGATATCAGTCTGTTAGCCATGATAAAAGGAGTCATCCGTGAATTTGCTCATACTGACAAAATTAGAATGAATTATTCTAAACGAGCAGATTTTATTTCCCTTAGCTACCTGAAATAAAAATGAATATATCTGGATATTCTTCAAAGTTATTTTTCTGGCTTCTTAAAAATAGCTTTTTATTAGCATGTATTAGTTGTCGAAAGGAGATGTTCATTGTGGCATTTCCATACATCCATATAATGTTCCCCCTCAAATTTCTTCCATCCATCTCTGTCCTCATCTCCCAGACTCTGGTCTTAATGTCAACAGATCCTTTTTTTTTCATGCGTGCATATGAAGTGCGTCAGCCATATTCACCCTCTCCATTTTTAATGGCTCTTGTATATCCTCCAACCCTATAAAAAATTCACCAGGAATTCCCAAACTCTCTTCGTTTATGGTGCTGTTAATTGACATAGTAACTTTTTTCATAATGCCCTTAGGCCAAAAGTATTTTATTGTTCAATATACACTAAGTATTAGCCCCTAAGGCTTAACTGTAATAGTCTGAGCCATGATAATACAGATGTTGTTGTGTATCTCTCAAAAATATACAACATACTATCCTTTCCCTGAGCTTGCTGTGATCCCTCACGATATTTCATGACATGATCTGGGGACTCTGGATATATGTTATGCTGGTGTTTGCTCTGGTTGTGGTCAGTGACCTTCAACATTGAATTAGTGGTTATGTAACCTTCCACACTATTTGGCTGTGTTTTGTTCCTGTGGTTATTTTTTTTTATTACCTATTTCTAATTCACTTTTTAAAGAGAGCCTACCCTTTCCTGTGGACCAGTCCTGTATTGCCAAATGCCATAGTTTAGAAGAGGAAAGGAATGAGCTTAGTAGTGAGGAGGCTTGTCGTAAAACTAACCATGTCCCCACCTTCTCCAAATGAACTGATTTTGA